ATCGATATTTATTATTATCATAGTTAGAGTTATAACTGGGACGTAAATGTAATTAATCAATAGATAGTAGTAAATATTTACACCCACATCTACTCTAACAACTTCCCATTTCTCATATACTCATCTCCCCTGAAACAAACGAACGACCTAACAAGCTAACAACGTGGCCTTCCGCCCCTCCTTCAGGAACCGAGATCACGACGCCTGGCAGTGTGGCGCGTCAAGGAGCCCAGATGTGGGAGACAATGGACGAGGTCGTGAAGGCGGACTACGGCGAGGACTTCTTTAATCTCGTCATCGAGTTGTCGAAGAAAGCTAGTTCGAGCGGGGTGAGTCATAGGCCTAGAGATCTTTGGTGGCACTGTGATATTGTTCTCGAGAGTGGAGGTACGAGTTGTTAGAGAGTTCTGTTAGGCTGGTTCTCCTTCGTGGAAACCCGAATTTGAAAGGATCTCATAGGTGAAATTTCGGATTATAGAGTTAGATATATTAGAAATAATTCCGAATTGAAGGACTACCTCGATGGAATTCCGGATTGTAGAGCTAGGGCTCTGTTGGAATTCCGGATTGTAGAACTAGGTCAGTTAGAAATTCCGGATTGTAGAATTAGTTCCTTAGGTGGTATTTTTGTAGATGGATTATAGAGATTTATTATTAATCTTTAATTTCTTAAGTGGGAGTCACAGTGTCGTGAAAGGCTTATTTCCCTTGTGCAATATAGTTTGTTGTTCCGTTCTGTAAGAAGAACGAAAAATGATAATCTATTATGTTGGTTAACCTCACAAACATCCTCTTTTCTCCCTCTCCTTCCACCTCATCATCACCTTCCCACTTCTTTCCCACCGTTATCATCTCCCTAACTTCCTCCCCCTTCTCCCCCCCTCCCTGCAGTTCCAGGACCTGACACCCATCCTCCAAGCCGTGACCCTCGCCCTGACGCAGCAGTTCCCAAGGGCGAGGTACAGGGCCGTCGACTGTTACTACTTGGTCAAGGTCCTGTGTGCTGTTCACCTTCCGGAGTGGCTCTTCGGCCTGGTGTACCAGGGGCGGCCTCCCTCCCTGCGCTGTCGAGGGCGGCTGCTTCAGGTCCAGCCGGAGTAATCCATGGTGAAAACTCACATTTATTTATTTATTGTGTTAGTTCGGTATGTCTTGGCTGGCGGGCGAGACGGAAGGATCCTTTAGCGAAGGCGGAAATTGATTCAATTGTTTATTTATCATTATCATTCTTGTATATTGGTGGTGGTCTGTTTTTTTTTTATTATAATCATCAATATTTCTTAACTAGGGTGATGACTGAGTGAAATATTTTTGGTCCTTATATTTACTCAGCTTAAGTTGATAGTTTTAACTCTTCATATATTTTAATTTCAGTCAATTCTATAGGGGTTGGTAATCTTTTATTCTATTTACTTATTCGTCTGTTCTCCTTTTTTCTCCGCTTCCCTGCTATTAGTCGGAGGTTAAGAAGAAAGCGGAGTGCTTAAAGTTCTTTTAAATGGTTGGGCATTATTTTGTGAAATGGCTGGTGGTATTTTAAAACTTTTGAGAATTATTTTTTCCATTTATTTTTTCAGCCGCTGATTGAGAGCAACGTGGAAGGGATATAATCCAACCGTTTCATTTTCCGTCGTTAATATGTACAATATTTTCGTATTTGATTATTCATTATGCTATGCGATCGGCTATATATTTAAACTGTTCACTCTTAGATTTATTCAAGGTTGAAGATTTTATCTCAGTAGATTTTATTAGTTCGTTAGATTGTTATCTTCGCGGTATTGCCCCTGTGTGATTTTTACTATCTGTGTATCCCAGGAGATTGAGTTGGCATAACAACTTTCCTGCTTTGAAATGTGAGTATATCTTACACACACACACACACACACACACACACAAAGAGAGAGAGAGAGAGAGAGAGAGAGAGAGAGAGAGAGAGAGAGAGAGAGAGAGAGAGAGAGAGAGAGAGAGAGAGGCTAACCCGAAAATCATTTAGATTTTTGTCTACGTAAACACACTAATTCACTAATCTATTAAAAAAAAAAAATCGATAAAACTTTTGTAAGTTCTTATCAGTAGCAAAACCCAGTCGCAATATACCATCGTCCATATTTTTCTGGACTCGGAAAGACTTGTCCCTGAATTCACGCGCTACAATTAGATACTGTGATTGATTAATTGATTAAAATCATCTGCCGCGTCTACAGCTAAGGTCATTAACGGCGCATACATTACGGGACTAAAATGTTAAAATGCTTAAAACTTTAAAAATATATAAATGAATTTACTCGTCCTTGAATGCACGCACTACCTCCGAATGCTCCTAAAAACGTGCGATTAGATACTGCGACGCAAGAAAGCCAGAAAACATCTGCTACACCGCTGCGCTCAGTAGCTTCTCTCCCATATTGCTTCTTATCTACTTTATAGTCCAAGCTAAAACCAAAGTTCATAGTGTGAATTCTACCTTTCAATTTTTATCTTTCCTGAAATAGGGGAAGATATCGGATGTTAAAAGAAAAGAAAGAAAGCAAAATAAAAGAAAAAATATATATAACCTTTGTTATACAAAGCTGGATGGCAAAAAACGGGCTGTTGAAGACGTCTGTGACATGAGAGAGCGAAATCACATACACGTCATGAACGGGTAAATAAGACGAATCGCATGTGGAATATGCGATACGAGTCTTTAGGATTTGATACGGTAAAAGGAACATACAATAAGTCGTGATGGTTTTACAGTACAAAAAATAGAATAAAAAAATCAAGCGTTGAGGATTAGTAAAAGTTAAAGGCTAGGCTTGTCTCACCGAATGCAACTAGTCAGAGGACGACGCGAGTTGATAGTTGATGAAGTAGGAGGAAAAAGGTCTGTTAGAAGATATTAGTTTCGAAATCCACCAGCATTTCATGTTTAGGGGCCTCGTATAGCGGTATTTTTTGCCGAAACAATATGTTGCACACGAGAGAACACCCTTTTTCGATGTGACTTAGTTTTGAGTACAACCTTGTGGTATATTAATTCTTTGATCCTCTTATATAAATGCATATTATTTCAACTTGTCTTTATGTTTGTAGAAATATGATTTAGGTTCTTGGGTATGTAATCCAAGGTGTAGTCACTCTGAAAACGCAGGTCGACTGATCGGAGCTTCGAGAAGGTCACCCATGTTCTTCCAAAATAATATTCAAATCACGACTTGTCATCGTTTTGGGAATAGCAATGCTCTTTATAATGTTAGGAAGCTTGCATATCCATTCTGATTTTATGTCAACACGTCGCAATAAACCTTTTTAGGGTGACTATACTTAGGGTGTTATTTATACTGCTTATTCACGGTTAGGGGCGTAGCTAGGGGAGGCCACTTGGGACCCCCTTGCAATTCACAAGATTTTTAAAGAATCGTTATTTATTGTAAAGTAATTAATCCTTGACGAAACTTTATTTATTGTAGGATATATCCAGTATACACATTTCAATTCTCTCCGATTGTCTCCAAAAGTGATCAATTTCCAACGAGCCATCGCCTAACCCATTCCCTTCCACAATGCCGTCCCTTACTAAAGTCCTGGCTGCGCCCCTGTTCACGGTTGTTTTATCAATTATTACCTTCATTCACCATGAATCTAATCAAGAGGATTCACAATGATACGTGTAAAAAGGTACAATAAGGATGAATAACTCCATAATGTAATAAAAGATTTCTCGCATTGTCGTCCACAATTTTGATAAAGAGTAAAGTATCAATACCTTGATATTTTGTATCTTGGAATTATTCACTCTCATCCCTACCTTTTCTACGGAACGGACATAATTCCCAAGCTACAATAGAGCTCAGAGCTGTGATTTTTACTAGTGGTTGTGTTGTGTGTAAACGTTCCTGATTGCTAACTACTGTGTGTATATGTGGATACTTATCAAGTCCTGTATTTTCTTATATTAAAGAGACCTGATTCATCTTTTGTATTGTTTCCAACGTCGATGCTGAGACAGAACGTGACATTCTTTCCTAGCTTTAAAAAACAGCATCCGCATATGAATTACAAAACAAATCTGTGCATTCAGTTCTGACAGTAATAATAACATTATATGAATAATTCATATTTGGAGAAAATTAAAAAAACAACAACAAAAAACAACGGAATCATGAACAAAGGAAATAAGAGCAAGGAACAAAACACAAGGTGGACTTAGATGTTCCATAGCACTTTATCACGACATATTTCCATTAAGAAAGAAAAGATAATTACTTTTAATTACCTGTTCTGCATCTAGATGTAATACTTATGACGTGTGATAACATCCAAGGTCGACTGGTATAAATGAGAGAGGAAGAGAGAAGATAAACATGTACGTAGATAGATAAATATGCAGACAGACTGATAGAAAGATGTAGATTGACAGATAGATGGGTAGATAGAAAGATGATTAGATAGCAAATAGAAAGATATAGGGATATGCAAAGAGATAGACAGACAGACATATAAAGATAGAGAGATATAGATAAACAAGGTAGAGAGAAAGAGAGAGAGAGAGAGAGAGAGAGAGAGAGAGAGAGAAAGAGAGAAAGAGAGAAAGAGAGAAAGAGAGAAAGAGAGAAGAGAGAGAGAGAGAGAGAGAGAGAGAGAGAGAGAGAGAGAGAGAGAGAGAGAAAGAGTATTGACTTTGAGACGTTCATTAGAGAGAGAAGAAGGTAAATGCTGTAAATAACAACAATAAGAAGGTGGGAGCAATGCAGAACGAGAAGGAAGAACGAATGTATAAGAAATTACGGACAGTGAAAAAAGAGAGAGGAAATGGGGGGGGGGGGATAAAGACAACACAATTAGGCGAAGGCAAACTACGGCCTTCCCTTGAGATAGCTTAGATAGCCTCAGGTAAATATCTATTATTAATATATTCATCATGATGTTTTCTCGCAAAAGAGCGATGTAGATTACCCCCTATTTGTCTGTTTCTTTATCCTCTCCTCTCTTCCTCTCGCTTCTATCTCTTTTCT